AGTGAAGAAGGACAGCAGCCAGGGGCAGAACTAGGACAGAGGGGCTGGTGCCAGGAATTGACCTCCCCTGGTCCAGCAAACTTCCTTATTCAGGACTGGTTAGGTCCACAAGGTGCCAGACCAAGAAGGTCTGGTCTAACCTGTACCCACATAAACCAGATAATCTTCGTAAGGGAACAGTTTTCTGGCAAGAGTATGCAGTGTGGAGGCTGTGGAGTGTTGGCCTTTGTTTTCCACAGGAGAAAAATTCAAGGCAAACACTTAAAGCATTTAATATTTTTGCAAAACTGTGATAAACAGCTTAGTTTTTCCCAAGTGGGCGTATTATGCAGTCTAATTGTCTGTATTCCTGTCATGCTGCTAACAAAATAGAACATGAATGGCAAGCTCTATGGTTTTATCAAATGAGGACACGGATAATATGATCTTCATTTGCCAACAGATCTGTCTGGGCTCAGGAAACACATGCTTGACACTTGCTTGGATTTCAGAAGTCTCTGTTACCTGTGTTCCTTCCGTGCACCGACTGATCTGTTCCTCCACAGCCTGCTGGATGGATGCTGCCTCTCTGGGAGAACTCAGTGCTGGCAAGAGCAATGCTAGAAATAGGAGCTGTGGATGTTCTACCCTGTCAAGATAAGTCCACTGCAAAGCGAGGGCCCCAGGCTTACAGGTTCCCAAACCTCTTCAGATAACCCTACTGAGTTGCTATTCTATAGGTCAACGTACAAAAAGTCTCGATTATCCGACCTAAACGGGACTGGAGGATGGTCGGATAGCGGAAATGTAGGATAGTATGGAATACTAATAAAAAACATGGGTGCAAATATGTATAAACTCAATTTATTACTAATTCTAACAAAAAAATAAAATAGAATATTTCAACAAACAAAAATAGAATTTACAACATTTTTGTGAATATAAAAAAGTTTAGTTTTTAAAGAAATGAGTGATCAGGAGTTGTTTTGGGGAGTCCTTACTTTTATTCACGGCAAGATCACACCAGCGTCTGAACAGTAGTAAGTCTGTAGCGGTCGCTTCCCTCTGTTGCTCAGTGTAAATTAGTGCTACATCTAGAGTCTTCATTCCCTCAGTCTGACTCAATCTATCCACTTTCTCTAGTTTGATAATATTGTCTTTATAAGAATACAATACTGGCATCATCAAACAAAAGCACAACTGCACTTATGTAATCACAGTTGCTAACAAAAGCACACTAGGTATGTGTGGTGTGGGTGTGCAGCGCTGATTGGCCGTTGTGCATGCTGTGTTCTTATTCATCACGTTGGTGGGCAGCACATCGGATAAAACAATGTCGTATAAGCGAAGGTCGGATAATCGAGACTCTTCTGTACTTTGCTCTGTGTGCTCCAGCAGTTGGAGAAAGCCATACTGCTTACCTCTCCTGAGTCGCTGAGTGCCCTTGACTTCCACTGATAGCTCCCACTGCACAGGATCAAGTGTCAGTATGGAAGTAGGGCAACTCTGTAGTCAGTTAACGTGTCACATTGGTACCAGAGATTTTGGACCAGTTTTTTCAAGGTATTTAGGTACCTTAAGATACAGAGAGACTGGTATTTAGATTGTAAGATCATTGGGCCAGGGATAGTCTTTTATTCTGTATTCTGTATGGCACTTAGCACAAGGGAGTCGTAGCCCATGGTGGGAGTCCAAGGCCCGATGGCAATACAAATAATAAATAATTTATAAAAAGTGCCTAGACAGATTACACATCTGACTCCCATTAACTTCAAAAGTCTCTTTGCTGATGCAAGAAAGAGAAGAAATTTACACTCTTCTATCTTCCCTCAGAGCTCAATACAAACCCAGAAAACTTTCAGGTAACTTTTTTAGATTTTAGCAATAGCGTTCAGTTCAGGCATCCATTAGTTTGTGTGCTAATGTGCACATTGAAAATCAAGAAATGTCCCCTTCTGTTTCAGAGTTTTTATGAAGTGTGAGAGTACTAGTTGAGATTCAAAGGCACCAAAGAGGGTTTTATTGACAGTGGAGGCCAAAACCCAAATGCACATACACAGAATTCAAAATGTTTCCCGTGAATGATGGACTGAGTAAAATTACTTTCTACATTAACTCCACTGTACTATACCGAGTTCCCAAACACTGAAATTGGTATGATGATCCTTGTTGTTGAAGAAAGGATTTTCCATATTTTCCTCATTAATGTCATTTTAATATTATTAAAACTTTATATCAGGATGAGCTGTCGGAAGATGTATCTCCATCACTTGAACCAACCAAAGAGACATGTGTAACAGACACCGTTCATCAGTCAGTTCTGAGCACTTCTAAGTCTGGGGAAAAGGCAGAGTCTGTTTTCGATGATGGAAACACATTGGATGAAGTGGACTATGCAAGTTTTGATCAGATGACTGTCCACAGCTCTGAAACCAGCTTTGAGTCGAACAATTCTGTTTACAACTATGGAATCAAGGTTTCTCTAAAAGCTTTGCAGCAGAGTGCAGAAGCCTTTAGCCAGTGTTTCCTGAAAGTGTCCTCCTACTCCCATCTCAATAGGCATGACGGAACTGAAGGCACCATGAGAAAAATGGCGTTATCAATATCCGAGTACTGAGGGTGAAATTTGGAGGCCATTGTAGTTAATGGTAAAATTCCCATCTGCAAGTTAGGTGGGGAGTGGGATTTCATCTTGGAAGCTGAGGACAGCAAAAGTTCTATTACTTTTACATTGTTTGTTTCTCAAATTGTTGTGGTTTTAAAGTAATATAGCTTGACTCTCAAGTTGTGCAGTGCATATCCATATATCCCAAAGATAATTCAGTGTAAAGGCTCTTGCACTGAGCATGGAGTGACAGGGATGCTAATTAAGGATTCCCCCTTCATTATAGGCTTTTCTCTGTAATTGAAGTTTGAGCCTTTCCTCAAATTTCGATTTAGTAAAATTGGGGTCTCTGAAATCCATGCATGTTACTTTGCCACGATAATTTCTAATGGCGGAAACCTCTGCTTCTTGTGGAATTGGCTCTGATGCATTATGCATCAACGTTCTTTAAAATCAGGGCTGAGCATGACAGCAGAGGCTATCAAAAGCCCTGTTAAGACTTCACTTTCATCCAGCACGTCTGAGAAATATCTGTCAAACAGAATCAAGAGAATTATTAATTGAAAGTTCATTGAGATTCATTCCATGGGGCTTGTATGAGGAGGTGTCCTGGAAAGGAGCAATTTTGAAGTGATGCAGCGAGGACTCGCCTCCCAGTTTTCAAATCTGCCTCTTTCTAGATCGCTTTGGAGATTTGAAAGTCCGGGATGGTAAAAACACAGTACATAGTCTAAACCTAGTAGAAAGAAGGTCATGTCAAAGAAGATAAGCAGACACACATATTAATGGGAGCAAGAATCTACCCCCACTGACAGAGCAACATAACTCAGGAGAGGTGACACTGAGGATGTGAAATGTTAACCGATTTAAGGGTGGTGGCTGAAGCGTCTCCCCACCTATCATGGGCAGGGGGCTGCTCCAGCCCTGCAGGGCCTGCTGTGGACAGCTCTTTTCCGGTCATCTGGAACAGCCTCTGTTAACGGTGGGCCTGCAGGCAAGGGCTGTCCAGAGCCTCTGTCCACAGCGGACCCACTTGCAGGCAGGGGCTGCTCTAGCATCTGGAGCAGCCTTCGTGTGCAGTGGGCCTGAGCACCCCACAGGCCACGGCTGCTCTGACTTCCCTGGAGCAGCAATATATTGAACTGGTTCACTAATTTAATGGTATTTACATTCCTAGGTGACACTGTAGCAAATACTTACCCATTCTGCCCTGCTCTTATGGCCTCTCTCTCTGGATATATCTAGCTTCATCTGTTTATTTTTGTATTGCTATAAACAGCTCTTAAGGAAAAATCCACATCAATAGCTATACAATCAATACCAACCTTAGGGCAGCTAGCTTCAAAGAGAGAACCAGCTACAAACTATTCTAATTGAACAGTGGATACCCAAGTTATACTGATAAGGCTGCTGTTGCCTCCTATTAGAGGTTGATAAGTCTTTCAGGTGAAATCTCGATGGGGAGGACTGGGTTAGGGTTAGGGTTAGGGTTTGCGGGCTTCTCGGGGTGGAAGCTCTCCTGAAGGCCCTGAGAGACCCCCCCCCCCGGGTGGCCGCC